CTGAACAGGAACTCAAGTCAGAAGCGTCTGAGTTCTCCCATGCTGAACTGGTAAGAGCCTCATTTGAGTTGAAGTCTAGTTAATTTAAGGATACCAACAGATCTTAAACAAATGAAAAACAAAGGGAAAAGCCCCATGCAACTGAATTTTCTCTGGTTTCCATACAAGTGACATACCTATTCATGTCAGGAAGTACCAGATCATAAAAAGATTGAAAAGAGGTGCTACCTAAGTTCTGGAAATCTCTGCCTATTCCAGAAAAAAGATATGAATATCCCTGATCCACTGAGGGATCTCTCTCTCCTCTCCCCCCTTTCAGTTCTGGATTAACTCAGGGCCCTGCACTTGTTAAGCAGGTGCTCTACACTTGAGCTATACACACCCAACTCTTTTTGCTTTACTTTTCAGATTTGGTCTGACATTTTGCATAGGGCCAAACTCTGTCCACGATGCTCCTACTTGAGTCTCCCAAGTAGCTTCAGTTTTGAATGTGGGCCATCACACCCAGTGCCAAGCTTGTTACTGATTAGGGGCTAATTTTTGCCTGGCTGGCCTCAAACAACAATTCTATTTCTGCCTCCCAAGTTGCTGGGATTACAGGCATGTGCCACCATGCCTGGCACTCCCCCTCGTTTCTTTTGTCCTGTATCTATAAAAGTTGATTTACAAGCTGTGTTACCACTTCTCCATTCTTTGCACACCAAGTAAACTTGTGCTGCCAGTGTTCAGCCTGGTTTCATCTTTGGCTTCACAACACTGACTGGAAAACGATTCCTTTTGGGGACTCACTCTCTTAAGAGAGGGGCCAACAAATTCTTGGTAACATAGGGAAAATAGAAATCTTGTTTTTCTTTGGATAGTAACAATGAACACGTATGTAATGGACTATATCTGCCTGGCTGCACAGGGAGTGAGGTCTGTCTTTATCATCTCTGCAGCAGACCGCCTACCCTGCACCTCACAGGCTGGATGAATACCTACTTAATAATAAAGCTTTCTTTCCTACATTTGCAGAAGAATCCACTGGGTTGACAGCAGACTGTATTTTTAATTATTCCTCAAACATCAGGAGTACTTTGAAATATTCTACCTTTTCACTACAGAAAATAAAAATCTAAAAAGTATAACCTTAAATTTTTTCATTGAGTGCTTTGTTTTGTTCTAATCACTAGTATAGTAATTAAAAGTATGAGCTTTGGGGATGGGGGTATGGCTCAAGTGGTGGAGTGGCTGCCTAGCAAGCATGAGACTATAAGTGCAAACCCCAGCATTTCCAAATAAACAAAACAAAACCCAAAAAACAAAAAACAAACACTTTGGAGTCAGAATGATTAAGGGTCTGACTTCTACTACTCAGGCTCTTCCGCCAGCCCTGAAGTAATGAGGACAAGTAGCCTAGCATCCCAAAATTTCTGTTTCCACATCTGGATACTGCAAAATTTCCAAACTAAAAAAATTCCGATTTTTTTAAAATCACAAAGGCACTAACAGTTTCTTCAAAATTTAGCAGAAAAAATGTATCAGAGATTGTTCCTGAATTGTAATTATAAAAGATCATAACCCAACTGGACAATATATATATTCAACTCTCATTATTTGACAGTAATAGTCTACAGTCACCATGAATACTGAACTGGTGAATACTAGGCCACTGCCCCTAAGGGACATGAACCAGCCTCCTGCAAGCTTCTGGTCACATCTCCCTTAACTGATGGTATGTAACCTTGTTTTATGTGTGTCTCTATTTCAAGACACCTCACTTAAAATCACTGTTGATTCACTAACACTGAACTCATGGCTAGCAGTACTCCATATCTCAAGCCTTGAGCAAAGCCTACTTTGCGTATTTTCCAGAAGGCACACTGTAGCCTTTCTATGTGTAGGAACCCTAGACACACTTAAGCACTCACACTATCCTAGAGAAGCTATCTCTAAAGGGGACTATCTTAGAGAATTTACCAACAAAACATGTAATATAAAAATGCAAAAAAAAAAAAAAGAGAGAGCATTGTTTACAGTGAGATGGTTGAAATGGGGCAGAACAACAACTCGTTCAACAGTTGAGGACAGGAGTTGCCCACTAATGACTGTGAAAGCACCAGAAGGACTGATTTGGATGTTGCAGTAAGTTTTAGCAGGTAGGCCAACTCACAAATATAGACCTTCCGAATGAGAATGACCAAGCTTCTGCACGTGTAAGTGCATGCATGCTTGTTTGTCCTGACTAGTACACTGCATTGGGGTCAATAGGTTTCCTCTTCTTTTGACTTTCTACTTCCCCACATCCTCTTTTTGCCAGTTGCTCTTTCTCTAACTCCCCATCTCAGTTGATGGTGCCAGCACCTTCCTAGTTACTCAGGCCTAACACCTAAAGACTTTTTATTTTTCCTTTTTGCACGCAGTTCCTATATCTCATCCATTACAAAGTCTTCTCTTCGACCTCCAATATTTCCCAATTCCCAACACTTAGCAGCCCCACTGCCACCACTGACCATGCTACCAACCACCAACTCTTGCCCAAGCTCTTATAATAGTTATTCTCCCACTATTTAATGTCTAGGATTCATATTATATTGAAATTGTCATACTTATTCTTTCATTAGCCTTCTCCCTCAGGTCATCTCCATAAAGGGTAAGAACTTTTCTATTTGGTTTACCACTATAATCCCAGTGCCTAGAAGGCCAAGGAGATAGGAAGAAGTACTTCTAGGTACCCAAAATGTCCAGCAATACTAGGAAGAGATATTCATTAACTGAAATGGAGCCTTTCCAAACCTTATACTTCTCGTTTTCAGTTCTCTTTCCCTACTATTTTAATTTTACTTGCTATGCAATTCCTGGCTACTACGGTAGTCCATTCCAACACTCCCCAAACTACTCTCTCAAGTGCCATCCTCTTGAATCACAGAATGCACACTGGTACTCTTCAGGAAGCCATCACTATTTACAACCAACATTCTAAAATACCTGTGAGCACTCGCTTTTCAAAGCTGAAGTGCACAAGTGCCGTGTGTGCTGTCATTTCTAGCTTTAACGTGAGAAGCTCACTTTAAAATATTCAGATCATGATGATCAGCAACAAAGATCTGGGGCCCACTACCTCTAGGTCATTATTCTCTTGCCATTTCTTCCATTTCCAAAGACAATTTTCTATTAAGTCTTTGTCCTTTATTGCATGATACAACTGCCTTTTTCTTGCTCTCAATTTAGATAAATATACAGTCAAGTCCAACACAGTTTAAACTGCTTCTAAACGTGGAACCAGAAATACTCCTATTTGTTTGGTTTTTGAGATAGGGCCTTACTACGTAGCCCAACCTGGCCTCAAACTCACGGTCCTCCTACCTCGGCCTCCCCAGTGCAGGGACGCTACAGACATGAACCAAAACACCTTTTAATGTCATTTCCCTCATCAACCTGGTAATTCCAAGTCAAGGCCACTATGAGGCAGCATGAGATAAGATGACAGGTAATAAAAATAGTGAAATAGAAACAAAAGTGGTAACTTTGATAAAATATAATTACTTGACATTTTTCTTAAGGGCTTTTTCCAGTTTCTTCACCTGCTGTTTATAAAGTCTCAATTCATGTTGTGTGGGCCTGTAGAAAATAAACCATGTTGAATAGATTCAATTTATTGCATAAAATGACAAAAGTACTTGGTAAACAATACAGTACACCTTGTTACTTATCACAAGTAAGTTTATTAAAAACTTTAAAATATTTCTTGACCACTAATGGGGTATTTACTGGCCATTTAGAGTTTTTCTTCTGTATAATTATTTAAAACTTTTTACTCACTTCTTTTGTTAATCTGGAATTTGTTTTTATAGTGAAATATTTCAAATATGCAGCTAAGAACAGAGAATATTACAACAAAGCCTGGTGTGCCCACCACCTGGCCTTATCTATTAAAATTAACCATACCTCTACTTAAAACTCTGCGTGTCCCTCATCAATATCATTTGTCTCCTTCTGTAACAGACGTGTCCACTATCCTGAATTTGTTCATTATTCCCAGGCATGTTTTTAAACTCTTACTACATACTGATATAATAAGAAATGTAGATAGTATTGTTTGGCGGTTTGCATTGCAGCCCTCTCTCTGTTACAGCATAAGCTTTATGAGAACAGGTGACTTGTCTTGGCATAGTTTTATCCCAGAGCCAGGGAAGATGTCTAACCTGTAACAGGTGCTCCCACACGTGTTTGATGAGTGAAAACAAAGTCTTGACAATGTTCACTCCTAATCACTCACTGTCATCATGCAGCACCATCCTAGCTATGCTGCCTCCACCTTTCGGGCATGTCACAGACACCACTGATTTTTCTTCTCCTCTCACAACACAGGGGAAAGGAGAAATAAACAAGACATCCTAGAGTAGCTTGGGGATGAGGAACTCTTTGACATGAGACTGAATCCAAGACAGTATTCATATATAGTGGGCATTTCAAAGTCACTAAGATAAACTTCAAATGTTTTTATCACAAAATACAATCAGTGTTTGAGGTAACATATGTGTTAATTAGCTTGATGTAATTATTCCACCTTGCATTCATAAATCACATTACTTTGTATTTTATAAGCATATACAACTATAATTTGTCAACTCAAAAATTTTAAATTAACAATGATTAATTATGCTAGGTTAAAGAAGACATTAAAAAATATTGTATGATTCCATTTATATAAAATCTAGGAAATACAAATGATTGTATGAAGACAGAGCAGCTCAGTGGCTGCCTGAAGCAGAGGTAAAAGGGTGTGAGAAGCGATGGGAAAGGGGCCAGAGGAAACTCATAGAGCAAGTATCCCAACTGTGATTTTTGGCAGGGGTGTACATGTGTTGGATGTAAAGCATTGCGTACATTAAGTACACACAATGTTCTATACGTCAACTACACCTCAATAAAGGTAACTTTAAAAGAAAAATAAAATTTCTACTTGAAGTTTTTAGTTTCATCTTCAATGTGGACTCCTATCTTCTCACTTCCCTTGCCTACCTATGGGTTCTTATTCCTTCCACCATTTACCATGAGACGATGGACTATAATCGGTTTAAGAGTGTCAAGTACTCAGGATCAGTTTTAGAGTGAAGGGGCTAGAATGGTTTATTTAAGATTCCAAATTCCAGTATGTGTTTACTTTTCAAAGGATCATGAAAAGTTATTTAAGTTTCTCTCACCTGCTTTCCAAATCTTTTTGGAGGTTCAGCTTCTCACTTAAAAGTGCATCAATCTTGGACTTTGATTCCTTGAGTTGATTCTGTAATGACTGCAACACATTTCACAGGAAAAAAAAATATAACTTTCCTAGGGATTATTTTACTTTATAAAAAAGTGTTTATTAATTATACAGTTCCCATACCATTAGAAGGCCTTTATAACTTGGTGAGAAATCCATGCTTCTGTATTCCTTTTCTTCTTCTGACTGGCTTCCATCTTCTCTATATCGTCTATAAAAAGACACATGTGATATACCTCTTATGAAAAAAATCTATCTTCAAGGAAAAAACCCAGCTAATAAAAATTAACCAAGCTGGGTTGGGGGATATGGTTCAAATGGTAAAGCACCTGCCTAGCAACATTAGGTTCTGAGTTCAACCCCCAGTTCTACCAAAGAGGGAAAAAAAAATTAAAACAATCCAACAGAGCCTTAACAACCTTAACATAAAGTAAAAACCAAATTTCTCACTTGTTCTCACAGAGAATAGTATTAGGACAAACTAATACTGTAGCCCGTATTTGTCTGTATTTCTTTACCTAGAATGTATGAGGACCAGAACTTTGTCTTATTCACTGTATAGCTCATTGTCCAGAAGAGTACAGAGCCTAAGAGGGGGTGAAAAAATATTTGCTGAATGAAAAAACAAAACACAAGTGGAACATCCACAGTCTTCTGAAAAATACATTCTCTGCATACTGTTTTTTCTTTGTAGCACCTTCAGGTTACCAAAAACTCTAAGTGAAAAAGTATAGAGCTTAAGGAGGCAAGGCTGCAGATTTCATAACCTTGGTTCAAGTCTCAGCACCACTATTAACCAGATGTGTTACTTGAAGAGGCCAGTCTCTCAGAATTGACTACCTCTAAATCAAGAATATTACTGCCATATCTACCACGCAAGATTGATGTGAAAGTAAAACATAGTAAAGTACAAACAGCACATACTAAACACTCTGTGACCTGGAAAGTGCTAACCAGTCACTGTTATAACCATCTTGAACTAACACTGTGCTTACTTTAAGCATATTGGCATTGATTGAAAGACTTTGGACAACACTGCATTAAAAAATGGGTAAGATGGCCAGGATGGTGGTACATTCTTATAATCCCAGCACTGGGATATAGCTGGAGGGGACTAAGGCTGGAAGACTGTGAGTTTGAGACCAACCTGTGATACAAAGTAAGACTCAGTCTCTCTTTCTCTCTCTCTCTCTCTCTCTCACACACACACACACACACACACACACACGACAAGGACAGGGCTTGCTGCCTCTACGAGAGGCCCACATCCCATTGTCCTCTTCCTCCAGTTCTACAGCTACTTTTGAGTTTATCCCACTTATCCACTCCAAATCGTAGCCTGTCATCTCTTCTCTCTTTCTTTACTAATGTAATATTGTCAATCACACCCTTCCCTACTTCTTCAGGTGACACTAATATCTATCTGCAGGCCTCAAAATCAACCTTGAAGTTGTGACAATCTCATTGTCAAGTTAGGAAAGGACTCACTCTTAGAAAGGAAACTGAAGTTTGTAAACTGTTTGGTCAACAAGTCCTGAAACCTCCCGCCCCCTTAGGAAATATTCTTTATTGCTGCAAAATGTAAATGGCTTCCAATTTTGTCATCTGTAAGAATATTTATAATGTCTCCCTCTCCCTCAATGGGACACTCAATTCAAGAATCTGGGAGTTGGGGGTGAAGCACAGTGCTTGCCTAACATGCACAAGTCCCCAGGTTCCATCTCCAGCACTGCAAAACAAATACAAGAACATCTGCCCCAAGCTTAGTGTGGTTAGAGCAAAGGATTTCACTTCAGCTAGCTCACCAATGAAAGATTTGTTAGAAGTGATTACTCTCCCCTAGGTCCCTCATTTCCTCGGTCTGATTTTCACCACAGATGTATGACAACTAAATTCAATTATTACTACCCCAATAGCCTAAACCCTTTCAGTCGAGGCCTCTAGTTTGCTGACTCCGAGGCACCTGTTATGCCGTATGCCAAATGAAAGATTTCATGATGGCTTTGTTACATCTCTACTCTTACTAAAAAGCCCAAACTCTCTTTCTTCTTCACTTAGATCAGGGGTCAGCACACCGCTGCCCACAGATTACATGCAGGCCTGTATTTCTGTAACTGGTTTTACTAGAACACAGTAATATTAACTCATTTACATAATATTGATAGTTGACTGTGCTACAACAAAACAGCTGAGTAGTTGTTACTGATTTTTTTTTTCGTGGTACTGAGATTTTGAACTCAGGGCCTTGTGCTTGCTAGGCAGGTACTCTAGCACTTGAGCCATGCCCCCAGCCCATAGGTGAGTAGCTGTGACAAAGAGAGTGGGAACTAAAATAATTGCAATTCAGCTCTTTACAGAAAAAGTTTGCTGATCCATGAATCTAGGTTATAATTTAGTAAAGACATAAAACAAAAGTTACAGTGGCTATTCAGCTGGGATAATCTGATTTTTAAAACACTGAATTATGAAAATTAAAAGCCTGATTTTATTTATAAATCCCAACCTTCTAGTTTTTCTTAAAAAATCATTGGGTCTGTGACTCCAGGCTCACAACACTGCACGGCATTCTCTGGCTAGAGCCGGGCAGTAACTGCCCTCTCAAGGCAGGCAGGGCCCAAGTCTCCAGTTTGCCAGAGTCCCATCTAACTCTGTTCACTCAATTCCATTATTTTCCTGACTCTATGAGCATAACCATTTCTAACCTGCCAAGCCATGAAATTCTTTATTTTCCTTCTCTTCCTGGCTTAATTATCATGCCATTATAAAGCATCATGCTTTTAATCGATACATTGTTTACTCACAGGTCTGAAATGGCTTCACCTTTTTTCTTATACTTTTTCTAACTCTTAACCTATCCTTTAAAGCACAGCCCATGTCTGCTTTGTGAAGTTCCTGATTAGCTCCATCCAAAACTGGTCTGTTCTTGTTCTCAACTTCTATGGTACTTACTGTCTGTGCAGTTTTTAGTAATTAGTTAAAATGACATTATGTGCTAGTTTTTAAAGTCTCATACTGTTGTTCTTAATTGTTAAAAGTGTTTACATAAAATTTTCTCTCTTACTGGACTGTAAACTAGAAAGTAAGGACCAGGTCAAAAACAAGTCCAATCTCTGCAGAACCTAGTACCATGCCTACCACATAAAAGTTCCATGTGGAAATCAGAAGGTCCCTGAAGTTAACTTGATAACAATGCTTGCTTTCTGAACAGCGTGAAGCAAGAAGTTGCTTTTATCATTAGCTGCTCTGTTCTTCCTCATTTATTGTTATTTTTTTTTGACTGAGTCCCCACAATACTTGAACATTCAACAACCAGCACAATACTACCATTAATCTGAGTTTTTCAAATTTAGAGTTAAAAATTTTTTAAAACCTGAGTTTCTATAAAGTCATTCTTAAGAGAATACTGAAGTGTATGCTTCATGAGAATGGAAAATTTATCTGCTGCGTTTATTCTGGGACCCTGCCACCCTAAAACAGAGCATGGCAGACAGTAAACATGCGTTCAGTGTGTGCTGTGGAAAGAATTACACCACCTGTGGACAATACACCAGACAAGTCTGCACTTTAACCAGCTCACATTAAAGCAGCAGAAATGATATAGCGGTAGATTTTCTTCAGATAGTTTAGGCTAGCCAAAGACTATTATTCTTTCCCCTTATTTCTTTATTCAGAAGTGACAAGGGTGTCTGAGTCTACGTGCCTGATTGTTCACTGACATTTTAGCTTCGTCTCATGGACAGCTGCAAAATCAGGTTGTACTCTGCTCAGCAGCTAATCCACGGGCTAGCTGACACCAGCAGAAAAAATGATAATGTTTTGAAAATAAAAGGAAATGCCATTTCTGCAGTGACCAACACTTGGGGGACTATGCAACAGACATTTTAATATGAATATAATAAATTTTAACATAAGCAGAATATAACATTTTAGACCCTTAGAAAAACAGCTATACAATGATCTCTTACACAGATTTCCATAGCAGACTTGAAACTTTGAAAGTTTATCAGTTATTACTGATAAAAACTTTAACAGGATTACTCATACCTTTCTGCATTGAGTTTTCTAAATTTAGATTCATAGTAATCAATCAGGCAAAGTAACCTAGAAAAAGGAAAATACATTGAATTATTTTCTTTTTTTGGTAGGGCTGGAGTTTGAACTCAAGGTTTCATGCTTGCAAAACAGGCACTCTACCCCTTGATTATCTGGCAAGCTTTAAAATTTTACTTGTTAGAAACAAATGTTTATTTCAATAGAGATTTTTAAGTAAGCATAAATATTATAACTCAAGTTATGAAATGCATGTTCTCTCTGTCCCAACAATTCTACCTCTAGCAATCTCTCACACCCTGTGCCCAAGGGTGAAACTCTTGAAACTCTTTTCTTGAAGAAAGTTGTTTCCTGTGTCACTATTTGTCGGAATGAGAAAAACTCTCAGTTCTTCAACATGGAATAGCTTAAATAATGGCACATTCATTATTTCTTCTAATGCATCACTGTAAGAACTAAGGTAAATTTACATGCCCCAATAAGGCCTGATGAGAGAAAAATGATCCATAACCAAATGTATACTACTCTACTTTTGTTTAAAGGTAAGAAAAAAATGCATATGAATTTATGTCTGTGTTGTAAAAGAACTGAGTTCTGAACTGTTGTGTAAAACTGTGTCGGTGCATGTGGAAGAGCAGTGTTGGTGGTATGCTGACTGGTGGAGGAGGTACCAGGACGCTAAGAGTACGTCTACAGCCTGACAGCCCTGCACAACGAAGAACTTGTGCCATGTGCCCCCCATTATGGGTTACTTAACATTCCTAAATACATTCACTTCTCTAACTGGAAAATTCTTTCTCTCACCTCAGTCTATCAAAACACTTCAAGGAAGCCAGGGGGTGGAGGAAAAGGGAGAGGGCAGGGGAGAAGAGGGGAATAATGAACCAATCATTGTATGTACATATGAATAAAGGAAATAAAAAAAAAGGGAACTAAGGTAGAAAAAAGAAAAATGGAGGGGATGAACCAATTCAGGATACAATACATACACACACACACACACACACACACACACACACACACACACACACACATATGGAAATGTCATAGTGAAATTCTCTGTATCAAAATCTTAAACAAACAAAAACATTTTTTTTTAAACGGAAGACAGAAAAATAAAAACAAGTCCTTTCTGGGGTAGGTACCAGTGGGAAGTGGGGAGGATATAAGGAAAGGATGTAGGAGAGTGAATATGGTCAAAATACTATGTACTCATGTATGAAAATGGAAAAATGAGACCTGTTGAAACTATTGTAAGAATGGGTGGGGAGGAGAATGATGGAAGGGTGAATTCAGCTATGATATATTGCAAGCACTTTTGTAAATGTCATAATGTGCTAATAAAAAAAAATTTAATGGAAAAAAAAAAAAGAGGGCCTAATTACCACTGGCATTCTTTTTCTTCTCTGAGAAACCACCATTGGAACAGTCACAAATAAACCTTAATGGAGACCAAAAAAAAAAAAACAAAAAACCCTTCCGCTCCTACTAGTCTAGTTGCAATTACCTCCTTCGGGAAGCCCATCTGACCCCTGCCTTTCCACTTGTCTCTCTGTCACGTTCACTTGGTGCCCTGTCACTCCCTGCCTTATGTTCTCCTCTTGTGCCTATGCGTTCACCTAGCCAGACTGGGTGGAAACCACGGCTTCGCACATCTCTGCACTCTGTCTCACCAAAACTAGTGCACTGCAAATTTTGACAAGATCTGCAGTGGCTGTGACACAGGTATTTCAAACAAGGTTAGCTCGCAATCTCAATGTTTCAAGCTGAAATTTGCTTTATTAAGAGTCAATAGAGGTAGGGAGTATGACTCTGTGATGGAGTGCTTGCCTGGCATGCACAAGGTCCTGAGTTAATCCCAGCACCACAAAAAAAAAAAAAATCCAATTAGCGAGTATGAGGCCCTGAGTTCAATCCCTGCAAAAAACCAAACAAATAAAAAAAAAATAGAAAGCTGTGGGTATAGGTCAGTGGTAAAGCATTTGCCTGGCATATATGAGACTCTGAGTTTGATCCTATGACCACAAAAAACAAAACAGAGGGCCAGGCAGGTGGCACATGCCTGCAATTGCAGCTACTCACAAGGCACAGATCATGGTTTGAGGCCAATCCCAGCAAAAAGTTAGCAAGACCATCTTAACAAATACAGTGGGCATGATGGTACATGCCTGTAATCCCAGCTACACATAAAGTGTAGGTAGGAGGATCATGGTCTGAGACCAGCCCAGGCAAAGTGTGAGACCTTATCTGAAAAATAAAGCAAAAAGTGGCTCAAATGTTAGAGCCATGAGTTCAAACCCCAAAAACCAGAGAATTTTTGGCCCATTAGACTTCCTCTGGCATGATTCTCTTATCTTCTCACTTTCCCATGATGGCTGTATGGAGAGGGGATTCTTTTCCACTCCCCCTCATCTCTCCCACTGTAATTGTCTTTCTCACTCTGTCTTTATGTTTTTGGCAGTACTAGGGTTTGAACTCTGGCCTCACGCTCGCTAGACAGGCGCTCTACCACTTGAACCCCTCCACCAGTCTTGTTTTTGTTCTTTTTACCTTCTCTATTTGCTTCCCTCAATTTTTTTATTCACACCTATTGCTAACTCTACTGTTATGTTTTTATCCTGAATTACGGTGCTTGTTCTTATTTTCCCTTCCAAAGGAGGAAAGCTGTATATATTGTCATGGTTTATTCTCTCACAATTATTCAATGTACTTTAACTTTTCATATCTATCTGACCTCATTTATTTTTATAGAATAACAGGAGCACCTAATTAGTGGATTCTCAGTCCTACGTAAACCGGTAAGACTAGTTAAGCATGCACTAAGTTTCTACTGTTGAATGAAAACTACCTTTTACACAAGAAGTGGGACTGTGAATATATTATCTGTATTGCTTATATTGCTAGAAGTACCAGGTAGGAGCAAGAAGTTCTTGTGTGTGATTTGGTGGGGGTGATTACAGGTGATAAATTCCTATACATTTCAATCAGCTAAAAGAAAGGATCTTGAAATTTTCACCGCAAAGAAATTGTAAATGTTGAGGAGGTATGTGTATTTAACCTGATTTATACATCATGTACGTGTACTGACATGTCAGCTATCCCACTGACAGCTACAATTTTTATGGTTTTATGTACTAGTTAAAAATAAAAATTTATGCCAGATGCCAGCAGCTCATGCCTGTAATCCTAGCTACTCAGGAATCAGGAGGCTCACAGTTCAAGGCCAGCCAGGGCAAACAGTTCTTGAGAATACCATCTTGAAAAAACCCAACACAAAAAAAGCGCCTGCCTAGCAAGTGTGAGGCCCTGAGTGCAAATTCCAATATCACCAAAATAAATAAATAAATAAGTTTACAAACAGCTTTAAAAATTACTTGGCAATTTATTTAGCTAATTTTAAATGTTTAGTGTTATTTTTAGTAAATGTCTAATTTCATTCCTCTAGGACAAAAAAGTACCAAATAAGAAAAAAAAAAACCACAAGGGGAGGAGGGAGAGTACTTTAGTTTATGAGAGAGAACCATCTCCAAGAGAGTCAGCTGAAAAAGTTAATCTAGCTACATTATCATTTTATGCGGAAAACATTACTGTCTATCCAAGACGGAGTGAGGAACTCTCTTGCACAGATAGGAAAACACTTGGTTCTGAGTGATGACTCGCTCTTCTTCCTCTTTTCTCAATCTGTAAACATCGTTTTGCAAAGCAGTAATGATTTCTTGTTGCTCCACTCGTTTTTTCTTGTAATGCTGACATTTGGCCTGTAAAATGTTTAGAAAACATAACAGGGACATGCTGTTCCACTAATGCGTCACACAGAGGCATCTTCAGCTTCCACTGAGCTGCTTCCATCAAGAGCTTCATGTTGAAGTAATTTTTAAATGGGCACAAGGAACATGATTGATATGTCATACATGTAACAGTGCCAGTGGCTCACGCCTGCAATCCCAGCTACTCAGGAGGCAGGGATCAGGAGGATCACAATTTGAAGTCAGACCTGGGCAAATAGCTTGTGAGACCCTATCTCGAAACAATCCGACACAAAAAAAGTTCTGGCAGAGTGGCTCAAGTGATAGAATGTCTGCCTAGCAAATGTGAGGCCCTGAGTTCAAACCCTACCACCAAGAAAAGTCATAAATGGGAAAACTATGAAATGGAAAACTACAGCTGATGTGCACACATCCAGGATTTCATAATAAGGAATTTAAGAATCTCCATTAAACTGACAACACTTTATGTTTAGGTTTTCTTCTTTTTTCTTTTGAGACAGGGTCTCACTATGTAGTTAAAGCTGGCCTGAACTCTCCATCCTCCTGCCTCAGCCTCCAAGCGCTGGGATTGCGGGGTGAACCACCACCCCATCCCAGCTTAGGTCAAGGGGAGGGAAGGAAAAGGGGAAGGAAAGGGGGAAGGGAAAGGGGAAGGAAAAGGGGAAGGGAAGGGAAAGGGGAGGGGAAAGGAGAGGGGAAGGGAAAGGGGAGAAAAGGGCATCCAATCACAAAAGTTGGCAAGTATATGAAGAAACTAGATCCTGAGCTGGGTCTGTGGTACATACCTGTAATTCCAGCCCTTCAGAGGCTGAGGCAGAAAGATTGAGGCCAGCCTAGGATATATACTGAGAGCCTGATTTTTGGTTTTGGTTTTTTTTGGTGGTATTGGGGTCTGAACTCAGGGCCTTGTGCTTGCTAGGCAGGTGCTCTACCACTTGAGCCACTGCACCAGCCCTGTGAGATCCTGTTTTTTTTGCATGGTTTTGTTTAAGAAAAAGAAAAGAAACTATAATTCTCATACCCTGGTGGGAATGTAAATTGATATGGCTACTTTGGAAAAGTTTGGCGGTTTCTTTAAAAATTAAACATACACATCCCATGTTATTCAACCTCAAGCCATAAGAAAGGAAAGCACATGTCCGCACAAAACCTTAAACACAAATGTTACAAAAGCTCTATCTGTAACAGCCTGACACCAAAACAACTCAAGAGTAATCAATAGGGGAATGGAAAAAAACTGCTGTGTCTGTGTAACAGAATACGTCATAGCAATAAAAAGGAGTCACCTGTTGGTACCGTGTGGCAGATTAGCCAAGATTCTGTCACTTCAACAAAATACCTGAGACAATTAATTTATAAGTTACTTTTGACTCAGAGTTCTGCACATTCCAATCCAAGAGTAAGTGGCCCCATTTCTTTGGACCTCTGACAAAGCCCACACACCACGGTGGGAGTTCATGGCAAGAGCACGCCTCTTGATCTCACGAGGGAAGAGGGAGAGGTCAGAGTCCCATAACCCAATGACTTAAGGACCTCCCTCCCCCAGGCCCTCCTAAAAGTTCTCTATTTCTCTGGGGACCAAGCCTTTAACACATGACCTTTGAGGGGACTCATTCAAACCACAGCATGGCAGCCACACAGAAGAATCTCAAAATGATGACAAATGGCACAATACTGGCTATTAGTGACATTCAGAACACATGTGAACAATCTTTCAATAGACCTCTTTGCCACAGACAGGCAAAACAAATGTTTCCTTGCTCCCAAGTGCCACATACATAGCACTAAACCAGTCTAAAGCAGCAACTGTATACTAAAAATAGAAGGCTGTGCCTTAAACTGAAAATAGTCATGAGACAGGAGCACTTTCATCTTTCCCAGTGGCTTATCATTAAAAATATCCATTTCCTTTAATTACAATAAACAGCCAAGTTTTAATATAAGGATTTTTTAAATTGGGAGATTAAATATTCAATGTTGAAATATTACCATTTCTATGAAAAGAACTCAGTTTTTACACATAAGAAAGTTCTGGATGACTTTTAGACATTCAGTAGAGATACCAAGCAAGCAGCTGGCTCGGAGTCTGGAACTATGGTCCGAGTTACAGATACAGATCTGGGAGCCATGAATTAAATTGAGGTCACCAAAGGCCTTAGCATGTACAGAAAAAGAAAAGCCCCAAGGACTCAGCATTGGGCATTCCAGCACTAAGGGACTAAGGAGCTGAGAACTACCACAGGCACGGGAACTGAAGAACGACCAGTGAAGTGAGAGAGAAACAAAGGCAGGATATGCTGGAAACCAAAGCAGTGGTAAGTCAAGGAAGGAAAGGCCGGTGTTAACTGAAAAGGATCGGATGTTGATGGTAACAACCTCCACCAGCATGAACTGTCTGCCCCATCACCTTTCAATACACTCAAAACCTGGTGATTTCCTTGGCCTCTTTGCCACCAACATGATACAACACGAAGCAACATGGAAGTCACCTGGGACCATTTTGAGCTGTTTCAGCACTAGTTGCCATCTAAGAAAATATGTAACTCAGTACCTGTAACATTTTCTGCTCCTTTTGCAGGTCTTTGATTTTGTTCTGTTGCTGGCACACTCTATTAAGGGACCCATCTTCTAATTCACCAATTTTGGACTTCACACTCTCCATAACTTGTTCCAAGTCATTTGCTCGTTGTTCCTGATGTGCTGCTCGGCTTTGCTCTACCTGAAGTTCGTTTCTAATTCAACAGACCCAAGTCCTTCCTTAGAATTAAAGACAAGTCAAATCCCCAACATACCCCTCAGACAACTGATGCGCTTTCTAAGATTTCTCAGCATTCTTAGCATTCCTTCTTTTGTGGGCTCTTTTTTTTTTTTTTAAAGTACTGGGGATTGCACGCAGGGCCTCACACATGCTAGCTAAACGCCCTACCACTTGAGCTATGCCCCTAGTCTATTTGTTTTTGAAATAAGGTCTTGCTAACTTTGCCCCATGGAAACTGGTGATCCTCCTGCTTCTGCCTCTGGAGTAGCTGGGATTACAGAAGTGAGCTACCATACTTGGCCTTATATCTTCTTTTCTTTTGGTGTTGAAGTTTAAACCCAGGGTCTTGAGCATAAAAAGCACATGCTACCACTGAGCTACATCTCCAGTTCTAACATTTCTATGTTACAGAGGCTAATAGGAGAAATGGAGGGTACCATTACATACCTATGCTAAACTATGAACCAAAGATTTAGCTATTAAAATTTTATTTACCTGTAAAAATATTTTTAATTAAAATGAAAGATTAAATTTCAGGATTTGTTTCAGGTAGTTTTTTTTTTAGAATGTAAACAAATAATTCAAGGGAGACTGGCTTGTTCCATTTTCTTACTTAAGCTGCTGATTGCTTTCTATGAGCTCCTGTATCATGCTCTGCTGACATGCTGTTTCTTCCATCAACACTTTCAAATTCTGCCTCATCCTTTGTGATGACTGTTTGTCAAAAACGATCAGATCTACATTTTAAAAATAAAGGTAAAATAAAAGCATTTCAAGATTCAAATTTTTAAAGGAAAAAGAAGCTCCAAGAATAGGATGTGATTACCTTTTAGATCCGTCCTTTTGACAAGGAATAAAGGTTTCAAGCCATGCGCCATCAGCAGCACATTTATGCTCTCCCATTCTGCTTCCTCCTGCTGCGCTTCCAAGGAGGGAGAAAGGATCAGCTTCAAGATGTGAAGAAGAACCTTCATAGATCATTTCCTATGCTTGCAGAATAACAGAACTTTTCTACAGAATGCTTTTTAAATATGAATTTTTTTCTCCAAAAGGTTTTTTAAATATGAATTTTATGTATATCTGATGAAAATTAAAACAGATGTATTGTTTCTACCAAAACAAGCAATAGACTAGAAGTGTACAAATAAGCAAATTATTGCACTATACTGAGTACTCATATGTAGGCCTTAATGGACAAAGTAAACAATAACAGAATGCCTGTAATCTCAGTGAACCAAAGACAGACCAGGCACCACTGAGAAGAAACTGCTGCAAAACTAGGGAATATTAACTGAACATAAAAGGTGAGTCACTCAGAAACAAGTGCAGCTTAGTAATGACTAGGGTTACCAAAATTAAAACAAACAAACAAACATAACCGGCTGGCTAGGGCCAATAATTTGAAGTTACTTACAGAACGGAGTAGGTTTGGAGAACAGATCCTAGTAGAATCACCTGGGAAGACAATCTCAAGTCTTGTATTTCTCATTCTAAATATGTGTTTACATCCTAATTTTGAGAATTAAACCCTAACACTTTATATTCACAATAAGAGGAAATAACAAAGGCTGGGTGCTGGTGCCTCACACCTGTAATTCTAGCTACTCAGGAGGCAGAGATCAGGAGGATCACAGTTCAAAGTCAGCCTAGGCACATAGTTCATGAGACAATATCTTGAAAAACCCTTCACAAAACAATATGGCTGGTGGGGTGGCTTAAGGTGAAGGCCCTGAGTTCAAGCCCTAGTACCACAAAATAAATAAATAAGAGAAAAATAACAGGGACATGGAGATTAGAAATAGGGGTGATTTCTTAAAAGAACACATTTAGGGGCCAGGGGTGTAGCTTAGTGTAACAGATGCTTATTGGCTCATGTAAGGGCCTGGGTTCAATCTCCAGACTAAAAACAGAGACCAACCAGCCAAAAAACAGATTACGAAACTACTAAAACATGTATTTAAATGTGGCATTTGTTTGGGGTGGTGGGTGGTGCTGGGGATTAAACCCAGCACCTCAGCTCTTCCACTGAACTGTACACCCCAGTCCTATAATCCGTTCTTTTTTGGTTGATTGGTTTTGGTATTTTCTGACAAGGACTCGCAATATAGCCCATGCTAACCTGGAACTGTCAATCCTTCTGCCTCAGCTTCCAGTGGAGCAAGGAGTATGGGCATGTACCACTGCTCTGCTCCAGTCCTTTTTAGTGCAAGTATAATGGCCAATTTTGAAATCAGTATGTGAGGGCTCTGGATGTTTAAGTTGTTCATGTATATTTGTAGAAAGGGTATGTGAATCAATTGTTTTTTTTCCTCCGGCACTGGGGATTGAACTCAGGGCTTTGAGCATGCTAGACAAGTGCTCTACTACTTGAGCCATGCCCCAGTCCTTTTGCCTGGGCTGGCCTAGAACCACATTCTTCCTATTTCCACTTCCCAAGCAGATGAGATTATAGGCATGTGCTGTATGTCCAGCCCCCAATCAATGCTTACATGCTTGAAAAATATGACATGCAATAGTTTTTTGTTAGTGGTATAATGTATAATAATTTAAAGATTAATAATTTGGACAATACACAAAGTACAAATAAAGGTATCATTCTCCACATTTGAAGCTCTCAGACATTAAAGAATGTAGGAGCTGAGAAAGGGAAGAAACTACCTTATGGCTCTCTGACAGCATTGTGACTCATAGCTTAATCAATCTTTTCCCCCCTTCTTTTATTTTTTATATACTTCTCTCTCACACACTGATTTTCTGCCACTTATGCCTTCAGCCTACTGACCACAGAGCTCAACTATTTGATGGATATAGAACTAAAATTACCACTGATGTCCTAAAAGGAGCCAAAAGCTCTGTGGGGGTCTCAATGGATATCCACCGTAACTCATTAAAAAAACCAAATGCTCCTACTTAACAAGGGCCCATGTTTTGAATAAACAAATTTTACCTATTATTACCTGACACCTCTTGTTTCTTAAGAGAAACAATAAAGTAACTGTTTATAAATTCTGAAAAATAGCAGGGAATGGCATTTTCCAAAATGGAGTGTTCATCAAAGTAGGGTTAAAGAAGAAAATGCTGCATGCTAACTCCTCCATTTGGAGAGTGGTAAGATTGTCAAGTCTTAAGAGTAATAAAGCCATTTAACAGTCTTTAACTCAGAACTCCCCAAAATTATTTGACCAAAGAATCTTTTTTTCCCCCAGTACTGAGTTTTGAACTCAAGCCCCTGAGCTTGCTAGGCAGGCACTCTACCACTTGAGCCATTTATTCAGCCCTTTTGATTCAACTATTATTATTATTTAGATAAGGTCTCACTTTTTGCCTGGCTGGCATGAAACTGAGATCACCCTACTTACAAGCCTGTCATGTAGCTCATGGGATCACAGACACATTTCACCATGCCAGGCTTATTGATTGACATGGGGTCTTGCTAACTTTTTGCCTGGGCTGGCCTCAAACTGAGATTCTCCTGATCTCTGCCTTCCAAAAAGTTTGGGGTTCTTTTGTTTTTATCTTTTATTTTTTGAGGCATGTCTCCAGCCCCCCTCAAAGAATCTTTTTTAAAGTCAAATGTTTTACATTTGTAGATCTAACATCCTTTGACACATTTTGAGAAGCAATGACTTAAAATATTTCAAGTTTACCTGTTTTTCAAACTTGAGTCTGTCTGAAAATTGACTGGACTCCTGACATTTAGAGGTTGCCGGAGACATGGTTTCTTTAGAATCAGAAGAAGTAGAGACTGGCAATAAAAAAATTTGAGCTCCCTAAATTAAAAAGAAAGAAAAAATACAATAGAAGTTAAAGGAAATTATATTTCACAGAATCCACTACTCTTGCAGGGCAAACTAGCCCATTCTTGTGTTAAAACTATATGACAACCTAGGTAAGTGACCATATAATTTATTTGGTCCTCCTCTAGAAATAAAACATTCTAGAGATTTACACATATACAGAATGACAGAAGGAACTATTTGTTTTATCTAGATAATGTGGAGAAGATGTGACATGAACAAACTCCTATCTTTTGGAAGCTATTACCCAAAATTCTCAAAGACCTGTGTCTAACTCACAGTTCCAGGTCAGTCTAACAGTTCACTGGACCCCAGGGATAAAGGGGTGGCACTTTATCAGGCAGTCGTTATTCCTAAGCAGATCAGAAGCCAGCAACAAAGGACTCAAATTGGCAGAACCATGAAAGTTTATATTTAGAGTATTTTATCATCGCTTACTCTTGTTCTCTAAGACTCTGCCATCCTAGAGGCAAGTACTTCCTTGGTTTCTTTGATATACACATTTAACCCTCCTTCCCAGAAGAAAAATCACACACATTCATTATGATCGTCAAGTTTTAGAACTTGAGGGGGGCCTTGGAACCTGCTTAATACAAAAATCTTTAACTGTTCATAGCTGGCAGGACAGAGTGAAGGAAGATTAACAATTCAGAAGGCTGGTTGCAGGGAGACACAGAAAAGAGTGGCAATTATCATAAGGAGCCTCACAGCAACCATGCTGCCGAGCAGGCCGATGTGTGAGGACAGAGACTGCTTTGGTTCCTTGACAGCCATGTCTGTGGACTTTAAAACTCACGAAGGTCAGGCAGGTAGAGCTGCTAATGAACTTATTATTGGAAAAAATAACCCATTTTTTTTCCCAGGAGGCATTTACTAATTCCAAAGCAGAGTTGGGAAAATGAGTACTAAAAGCGAAAGCCACTCCAACTTAAAGCTGGGACCTAGAAGGGTCAAATTCCCAGTGTAAGGATGAACCAGAAGTAAAGCGGCTCTCCCATTAATCTGGAACCTGGCTTCCCCTCTTCTGGACTGTTTCAGTACCTCGCAAAGGTACTGGATAAAAGTACTTCCCAGAAGTACTACCTAGCAGAAGCAACTGAAACCCTCTCCAAGAAAGGCATCAGTCATAACCACAATGTTTCAACCACAACATCTAGCCAAAGATAGTCAAGGCATTCAGGAAATAAGACACAAGAACAGAAGAAACTTTTTTAAAACGACTGACCTACATAGACAGATTTCTGATATTGTAATTTTTAAGCATACACCATAAAACAATTATATTTAATAAGAAAAAATTTGATTGGCCTGGAGTTCAAGCCCCAGTACCACAAAGAAAAAAAATTTTTGAAACGGTGTCTCACTGTGCAGCACAGGGTCCAGCCTCAGCCTCCCACATGACGGGATTATAGGCATGTGCATATAGTTATTATATGTTGCCATATTTTCTTATGAACTGACTTAATCGAGTAGAGATGCAACATCTCCTCAGTTGATACCTCAGAATTGAGTATGTTTGTGACTTAAAAATATAACCTCAGGCTGGGGTGTGGCTCAAGGGTAGAGCAACTACCTAGAAAATGCAAGGCCCTGAGTTCAAACTCCAGTATAGAGGGGAAAAAAAAAAAAACTTCTTGAAAAGATTTTTCTAACTGGGTAAGCTCAAGCCTGTAATCCTACTTGCTTGGGAGGCTTAGATCAGGAGGATCACAGCTTGAGGCCAGCCCAGGCAAATAATTTGCAAGATTCCATCTCCAAAATAACCAGAGCAAAATGGACTAGAGGCATAGCTCGAGTGGTAGAGCACCTGCCTTGCAAACTTAAAGCCCTGAGTTCAAGCCTCAGTCCCACTGAAAACAAACCCCAGATTTTTCTCAGGGGCTTTGGGTATAGCTCAATGATAGAGTAAGGGAAGAGGCAGCATCCGGGCCTCCTGATTGTTGCTGCTGAAGATGTAGTTTTAAAAAGAAAATCCAAAATAAGAATAAGCTCACTTTACCTAGGTATGTTGGCACACACCTGTAATCCCAGTGCTTGGGAGGCTGGGGCTAGAGGATTGCAAATTCAATGCCAGCCTGGCCTACATAGTGGGATGCTATCTGTCTGAAGCTCAAAAAATTTAAAAGGGTAGTAAATCATATAACGTGAGCATATTTTAAGACATCTTTTTGCTCAATGTCATATAAAACAAGTCATAAGATTAAATAATTTTAACTTTACACAATTAAAAGATAATGCAGTCAATAATCCAAAACATACGGAGAAAAATCACTTAGTTTGAATGTTGGTAATGCATAGGATTTGTGTCTAAAGCACACCTAGAATGCTTTGAAGTTACGGGTGTCAGAAAGTCTCCAACTTGTTACAGGTCAGGCTTATTATGGACATTTTGCTCCCATAAGTTCTTTTTCTTTTCGGCAATACTGAGGTCCAATAAAGGATTCTCCTGAATGGTCTTTTGCCTACTTGTGATCTTGACCATGTGTAGACTGGACTGAGCTGGTTGCATAAAGGACAGACAAAACCCTGCAGTTTCCAGCAATAGCTACAGCAGTAAGCAGTGAGGCTGATGAGCTCCAGCAAGCAACCAAGAGCTAAGGGCCCCAACACCCAAAATTCAGAGCTTTACAACACCATGAAGTAGCCAGGAGTTCCAGACAGCAACCAAGGTCAGCAACTACAAGAAGCAAAGACTGCTAAAGATGGCAGAAGTGTCGAGAGGTGAGAGAGCAGACTGTAAGCCCTGGTCACTAGAGGAATTCCAGAGAGTCACTAAGAATTAAAGAGCCAAGGCTCAAGGACTGTAACTCTATCTGCTGGACTAAGCCCAGAGCAATAAGCCTCCAGCTTTGAAAGCTGGAGCCACAAGCCTCTCGTCCTCAGGGCTTAGAGCTAAAGCCTCTGGGTTAGGGAAGACAGCTTGTAGGTATCTGGACCTCAACCCAAGGGAGCTACTTCTCGCCTCTCCGCAATTTCTATCCAGATAGATCAAAAGAACCCACAGCCAGCAATTTCTGAAAGTCTTGCCAAACACAACTCAGAGAACTGCCAAAAGGAATCCAGTCTTGAATCCAGCTAACAATGTGCAGGAATTATAGAGGGCAGAGAAACACTGAACTGTACATGAGGTAGCAATCAGCAAAATTCAGACTATAGGAAATACATAGGTTGTATTATTAGGTATAGGTAGGAATGAGGAAATGCCCAAAGCTACTTCCTTCCAGGGGCAGAATAATAAAACCCTAACAGCCTATAGCTCACCAATAACTGACCACCCCTGAACTAAAGATCAGCCTAACAGCCCACACCTGGAATGGATGATTAAGAAACGGCCCTATATCCTCTTTGTAGGGTCCACTCCCCATGTCAAGGTTAAACCAGGAAGGACAAAGATGACCAATGCGCATGCTTATGTCTTCCTACACCTGGGCAGCCCATTCACAGTAGCCAAACCACTTGGGGAGGACCCTCAGTTTTGTGACATTCAGTAACTCCATCCTGTTGGGTAAGACCCCAACCCCTGGCGGCTTCCAGGCACATTTGGCATTATCCAACCGCCTGTCTTCCCACTTTGAGGTGGCCTGTCCATTTAGGCGCTGGCTTTATCCAACTTGCCTGCCTCATAGCTCAAGGTACACTTATGTTTTGCTAATAAATCACTCTTTACTATTTTCTACTCTTCGTGGTTCTTTTGCTGCACCTAGGGTAGCTCCCTAATCTTGGACACTGTAAACAAGAACCGAGGAGACATCTGGAACTCCTGGTAACAAAATGACCAGGATCTCAATCACATGTATTGTAAGGAAAAGAAAGGGATGGAAAGAAAAACCTACAGATTTAAAAAGTTTAAAATATTTTGATGGACAAGACTAATTATGGTGCATGAGAATACATTTATAGCTGGGCACTGGTGGCTCATGCCTATAATCCTAGCAACTCAGGAGGTAGAATCAAAAGGATCATTGTTCAAAGCCAGCCCAGGGAAATAGTTGGAGAGACCCTATCTCGAAAACACCCAACAAAGAAAAGGGCTGGCAAAGTGGCTCAAGGTGTAGACCCTGAGTTGAGGCCCCACCACTGCAAAATAAATAAATAAGAGTATACATTTATAGTAAAACTTTTTAAAAACAGAAATGATTACTGTAAAAGGAGAATGCCAACAGGACACTTGAGTTGAAATTAGAATAGGGCAATAGATAGCTTAATTCATTAAGTTACATAACTGGTAGGTGAAGGCTTTTGTTCTATTTCATAAAAATATTTTTCCAAAGTAAAGGAAATCCTAATCAAAAGAAAGCTGGTGTACTACTGCAACCAGACTGCCCAGGCATTCTACCACATGATAGGACAGCACTAATCTCTCTGTGCTTCAATTTCCTCATCAAAAACTGAGGATAATAAAAGCACTTAGCTTACAGAGTTACTGTGAAGAGTAGAAGAGTTAATATAGAAAGAACATAGAGCAGTGCCTGGCACATGGCAGCACAGAGTGGCGATTAGAGTTGGTGACCAGCCACTGTGTTGTCTTACTTAACCTCTGAGTTTCAATTTCCTTATCAGGAGAGCAAAAGGAAATACATGTATCTAGTATACATTCAGTAACCGTTATTTAGGGTCATCTGTCGCATCAGACATACCTCAGTCATAGTATATTCCTCTTGCACGTTACACCTGGTCATTCAAGTTGATCTCAATGAAATGATCACCCAAAGAGCCTCATGTCCAAAACTGGATCTTCATCTAGGTTTCAAAAAGATACAAAATCTTGAAATGTTCAACCTGTGAGAATGGTCTTGTGTTATTCCCAGAGCAGGGATGCGTGCTACTGATAGCTGCTGAACTGCAGAAGTGCTAACGGCTCCCAAGCTGAAGACAGCATGCCTCCTTCCTTCCCTTCCCTCAGCATTCCTCTCCCTGCTTTGTTGAAATCTTTTCTGAATATCCAATCATTGTTTTTGATTTGTGGCCTCAAAGATAGGGTGTATCCTTGTTCATAAAGGCACTAAGATGAAGCACTCTCAGAGACAGACACAAACTATCACTGAACACACAAACAAAGGCAGGAAGAAAACTACTCACCTGCACCTGTGATCGAGCCCTCCTTTTCACAGTTCTGTTCTGTAACCTCTGAAATGATTCTCAAGAGAATCAAAATCTGTAAGCTTTCTCAAAACTATGTATTTCAAAATACTGCAATAAATTAATGTGATGCTTTCAAAGTCTCCATTCTCCGTTAATGTCAATATGCAAGTAATACCCAGCAGCCTTTTTCCCACATCAGGCTGTTACAGAACACATATTTGGAACTTTTAAACTCACAGGGAGAGAACAAATGCTTCCCAGGACCAAGGCAAAAACTGTTCCTTTAATCAGTGTCGTCACACATCTAAAGTAAGACGTGGGAGTAGGGGGAAATCACACCAAAATCTGTAAGTTTTCTCAAAAGTATATGCTTCAAATTACAATAAATAAACACAAACGTTTTCCAAGTTCCTATTCTGTCAATGCAAAAACTCTGTTTCAAAAATATGGCATCTTGCTGTTAAATGTGTCTAAGAAAGGAATGAATCCACCACAAATAAAGCAAGGGAGTTAATGACTGGATGTCATCTCAAGCAAATCATTCTGCTCCCGGAGCATTTACTTAAAAGGACTGCATTGAAGCCAAAACTGCCGGGAAAGGTGCAAGCTAGCTCTCCCATCCGCAAAAGGTGGGCATGGGTGGTTCGAGTCTACTTACAACATCCCCAGTTTAAAAAAAAAAAAAAACCCTCAGGCAGAGGATACCCATATTGATGGGTAATGAGTGCAGGGTTAAAGAGCACGAATACAAGAAAGTTGCCCGTGCAAACCCTTTCTGATCGGTCTCTACATTGGAGGTCTTGGCCTTCTGACATTTTTCACATTACAAGAATCAAAGCAACCCCGCCTCAAAGTCAGAGAGCCCCCGGGAGCCAGGTGTCCCCATTTTGCCAGGAGGGACACCTGACGCTGCAACCAGAGCGGGCCAGCCCCGCGGACTCGCGGACGCTAATCACCGCACCTGCGCCTCTCCCCAAACCCAGTCGGAGCCAGGAATGACTGGCAGCTTCAGCGGAGCCTCCTTTCACCCTCACAATCACCACGGAAGGCCAGACTGCCAGCCTTATTAACCAGATAAAGAAGCGCAGGCGTTCTCCGCACAAAGCCGGGGGAGCCGGCGTGCCCGAGCCCCAAACCTCCACACGGGGATTCTTCATCAGCGCGAACTGGTCCCAGGCGGCTCCCCCGGGGACCCCGACTCGGGTCAGTCTGACACCCGAGGCCCAGGTGAGGCCAAGTCTGGGCGTACGCCAAGAAAAGGCCCTGCCGCCACCTCCAGCGACCAAAGCGCCACTCACCTTCCTCAGCCGCGGACTTCCACCAGCAGCCGGCCCAGCCCGGCTCGGCTCGGCCCGGCCCCCCGCCCCGCCACCTGGGGTCCCGCCTCCTCGACCGTTGCCACGAGGGAGGCGGACCAATCGAGCCCGAGAACGTCATCGGCCCGCCCCCTGCCCTGCCCTCGGCCGGCGCGAGCGACTCTCTCTGGCTACCTGGGAAACCTGGGTCTGCGCCCAGCCCTCCAATTGGCTCCGCTTCTGGGGGCGGGGCTTAGCGCCAACGTAGAAATGCGTCTGTTGTGCTACGGTCGGCGCGCTGGTTCCCCCTTGCACTTCCAGCGCACGCTTGGTTCCTGGGTGCTCTGTCACAGAGGCGGCGCCTCGTTTAGCCGAAAGATCCGAAATACAAATTTGTGGCTACGTGGTCAGCACAGACTACCCTCCCACGCCATGACTATGAGTTGTTGGGGGACCGGTCACCGCTGTATGGGCAGGCATTTGGAGGACCCGCAATAAATGTTCGCTGATACCATTTCACCCTCCCAAGTCATCATTTTCCAAATGTCTACAAAGTGTAAGGCCCTATTATGGGGCTCCAGAAATGCTGAAATGCCTGATTGAAGATCTCCAACAAAGATGCAATATGATAGGCCTGATCGGAAAAGGGGGTGCGGGCAGCACAAGGGGAAGTTGTCGCTTAAGTCCTCCCAGGCCAGTGGGGTTCAAGCCTGGCTGCACATTCGAATCATTTGAGTAGCTTTGAAAACTTTTTTTTGGAGGGGGGAGGCTGGTTAGGGATGGGCTTTGCACAAGCTAGCCAACACTCACTCTTCCACTGAGTGTTACTGTGTGTGTGTGTGTGTGTG